TAGACGAGTAGTGGCCGCAATCCACTTGGCCCCGGACTCTAAGGCGGCCGAGAAAATCAAAAAGCGATGGTCGACGCACCCGGTGCAGGTGAGAACCGAGTACCACACTAAGAAACCCTGGACTTCAGCGTGTGTCAATGCCCATCTTAGTGTGTCAATGTACATGAGCGGCAGTGTTACTTGGAGAGGTGGAACTTCGCAGAGACAACATGGGGCAACGTGTTCCTCGCATGCGCCGCGGACCTTCTTCACGTCCTGGACGCAGGCATGCTCCCACGCATGGGCAAGTGCTTCATGGTGGGGAAGAGCAAGCCAGAGCGAAGGGAATTTGAGAGGTGTGTACGCTCTCATCCGGATATTTCTAGCTGCCGCGTGATGAACATGCAATGCACGTGGCTGACCGTAGATGGGTGGGTTGGCAGGCGCCGCAAGGAGCAAAAGAAGGACACGCGCGCAAGTGTGGTGCGCATACCAGGAGGGGCCACATGGTTTAGCAGTGGGGCGAACTACGCAGCCTTCGAGCACAGGGGGATGATGCAGGTGATGCCCTTGCTGATTGCCGACAGTATGGCGAGGAGCAAACCAGCGGAGAAGGAGAAACGGCAACGGGAGGTGGCGGCATTTGGGGCATACGCCAGCTTCTACAAGGCGCTTGTCGGCGTGACAAAGCACACGGACGACACCCTGGACGACGTCAGAGCAATGGCAGTGACGTAAGTTCCGTGATTCGTGCAGCCCCTGGTGTGCACTAAACTTTCAGATTGTAGGAATGTGTAGGTGTAGTATGGGGAGTGGTGTGCAACGACATGTGCTGAAGATGTGATGTGCCATTACATCCGGACTTATATCCGCCTCACGTGTCGCTGTGCAGAATGATGGCGGCAATCGTCGCTGCGTTTCCCGACCAGATCTCAGGCTGGAACATCCCGAAGGTGCACCAGATTGTGCACCTGATTGCCGTGGGTTGACGCACGAGACATCCACGAACCTATGGGAGCACACACACAAGGGCACAGTCAAGGTGCCGGTGCAAGGAAGCAACTGGCAGGACATTCCACGCCGCATTATCGAGGAGGAGGTGCAGCGCGAGATAGCTCGGGAGGTGTCCACGGACGCAGGCGGCAACAGGCAGTATGTGACGGCGCTGCGCGAGGTAGTTGCAGTACACGGCATGCAGTCTGCGACACCATGTAGCATGACGTATTGTGTCGGAGTGTGGTAACCTCATGGAATCATTCAGCGACTGTATCAAAATCCGTGTGCACACAGGCTGTACGGACGCGCAAACCCGTCCTGACGAAGAAATCACGTCCGGCCAATGTGGACGAGGACCTGGACGCGGTTATGTGGGTGTATCGCGAGGCACATGGGTCCGACATGGACGCACTCGCAGGCTGCATGAGGGCGGCAGGCCTCCCGTCGCCATCCATCGCGGTGAGGCCGGCTTTTATGCATTTTCGTGTTGCATGTGGACCACTATCGTGGGCCGCTCGTGCTAGAGTCCTGGTACTTGTGGGTACAGAATTGCCCTCATGTTGACCGTCATGCGCAGGTGCACACCGCTGTGGCGATACCCCGAACAAGAGGCGGGGAGCTTGTGCCGAAGGGTACGTTTGTGAAGGCAAGCCCATCAGAGAAGTGGTTTTCAGACGTGGCCGTGCTTAACCCAGACGAGGGAGAGTGGTACGCAAGGTGCCTATGCATCTTCAGGACAAAGGGGGTGGATGGAGAGATGGGGAGGCACGTGTACGTGAAGTACTACGAGGCGGACGGCACGTGCCCGATGACAACTTGCTTGCAGTTGACACCCGGCCGTGTGAGGACAAGGTATGCTGTGGTAGACGTAGAGTGCATCCAGAGGGTGGTGCACATTTGCATGTCCTATGTGGACAAGCGTGTCATGCTGCTCAACAGGTTCCTGCTGACCGAGTGAACATGAGTGGGTTTGACTGGCGGGGTTCACGGGACAGTTCAGTGGCTTGTCGCACTGTGTGACACGCAATTGACGCTGATTATGTGTGAAAGGGCGATGACCAACTTGGTGATGGTGACCACACAACACTATTGAAAAATATTTTATGCAGTATATGTGGGTTGAACATGACGGTAGTGTATCTTACTTTGACATTCCTAATTGCGTAGACACACAACAAACGAGCCCAATTAGCAGTGGACGTCGAATGGCGAAAAGAGTGCGGCGCGGGGAATGTACATTGGCGCGGGAATCCCAAATGTGCGGTCCGTCGAAAACGTGCGACACATTGCATGAAATGTGCGGTGCGAGCATCCAAAGGCCGAAAAGTGTATAAGGGGAAAACCCAAAATGTGACATTTGCGTCACATGTGGTTTGGGGTCTTTTGTGTACTGTATGGGACTTTTTGTATGCTTTTTCGTAGAAAAACCTACGGACCCCTAAAATGTGCTTCTTCCTTTTCCGCGATGTGGGAATTGGGGTGCGCGACGGGCTTGGCGCCGAGGTTGGGTATTGTCGAGGCGGAGGTCCGGAGCGCGGGTTACCAACCGAACCGTGAGGTTGGGTCGCATCGTGACCAGTGGCGGGAATGGTGTCGAGGCGAATGTCGCGAGTGGTAACGGATTACTATGGGGTGCTGTTTGGCGGGAACAATGGTGTACGCGCTGAGCAGGGACGCGAAGTAAGGAAAAGGAATTTTCCTTACACTGAGCAATGAACAACCAGGGCCATTGGGATAAGAGAATATAATCCTGCCACGGGAAGCGCACTACAGTACAGCGTTATTCATGATGATGCGATGTGATGCGTCAATGTGGGACAGATAGAACAGTGAACGATGCCATTTTGTTTTTCCGGACACCCTGTGTGTCGTAATACACGGACCAGCCCAGCCGACTCGCGTAACGATCTACGCAGGGTGGGCAGAATTCTCCCCTAGTTAGAACAACAAGCCTAAAAGGGCTAGAATACGCTCTCCATTCACTTAAATTGCAGTCAATTCGAGGCACACGGGGTCACCGATGTCGCAACGTTTCAAGCTGGGCAAGGAAAAGGAGGTGTGACGCATGCTGGATACTCGGAGGGAACCATTGCTAAGCTGAAACATCGAACCTAAAGAAGGGCTGAACATCGTGCGCTGAAGCTGGGTCGAGATTCTTTTGCTGGGGAAGTTCTGGGAGAAACTGAATGTGCAGGAGTTTCCTCGAGACAAACACCATAGGCGCAGCATGGTGGCATGGCACCGGAGTGTATGAACCTCATGCATGTCACTTCCGTTGGTGGGCTGAGCTGGCTGGCGTCAGTCATTCGTGAAATGGTTCCTCTTTTCATCGAAACGTCATGACCGGCGACTTTTCTTCCCCTCCTCAGTCAACAGCGCGGCAGCAACTTTTGATACTGGCACGTGCTTAGATTCTTCGTGGCCGTTGCAAATCAAGGGGCCTGCTGCAAGGCCGTCATTTGGGAAGGTGGGAAGGAAATTGCGTGATGGACCCCCACAATTCCCCCCCCCCCCCAATTCCACAGCAGTGCAGATCACAAGACTCGCATCGCATCGCATTCGCTGGCTACAAAAGAAAATCGCAACCAGACTGGCTGCAGCACCCGAAACCACGATTGTCCTGAAACGCCCTCACTGGCCTTGCTTTTCTGTAAGAATGTCGTCGGTGTATGAATTTCGTCACTCTTTTTGGGGTAGGGGCTGAACTTGAAACCACGAGAGACGTTCTCGGCAGCATTATATTTTGTACATTCTGGCTAGCCCTCACTGACAGTTTGCATGCGGTTTCTGCCACTAAATCACCGATACGCGAAAGTGCCACTGACCTGGAAGTCCCAAAGAGATACCGCGAATCAAATGCTTCAGTCTGCCTCGAATCAGATTCCTTCAAGTGTGGGTTAAGCGTAGTTGACTGGTAACATATGTCTGCGCGAACAAGCGAGAATCTCAACGATGGAAATGTTTCCCACGATGCCCCACACACGAGGGCTAGCGAAACTTTCATGCGAGCGAAAACATGTGCGATACTAATCCACCAGGCCTCCTCGGATTCGCTCCCACAGTTTGCACATCAGCCAACCACAGTCCGTTGGCAACCCATCAGTAAGGCCACTTGGAGCCGCGCTATGGGTCTACGTGAGCTAATCTACTTGCGAATTAAGTACCATCAATCTCGCTGCATTCACAACCAGCCAATCTAACGAAGTCTTCGTTCTCTACAATCAGTCACTACTTTGTCCCTTTGCGGTGCGCACTCCCACCTCAGCAGCAACCGCTTGTGAGGAGGACAACTAGAAAGCCTCAATCCGACGTCCTCATTTGTCGAACGTTCTCGACCCTCCAAGCCTTATCGCAATTCTCAACGAAGCGAGTTGGGGCTAGTCACGTGACATTTGGCGTCACCAGCCGTAAACAGCCCTCTCAGCACAAAGTACTGCACCGTAGCCATGGCCACCCGGCATTCTAATAATCTATTCCATTCTGACACCTTCAGCATTGGGTCGCTCAAAGCCCACTCTAACGAACAGCAGCTAAGTCCGAAGCGCCTAGCAACGTCCTCACTGTTATCACCAAACGCGAAGCTCGAAGCAAAGGAGCAGATTAAGCGAGGCGAGATGGCCTTCGCGCCGCGCCATCATGGGCACTCCAAGAGCCACGACGCGCTGGTCGTACCCGCGGAAGCGCAAGGTGTCGCGGCGTCGCCTCCCCGCATGCTGGATGTGACTCAAACCATAACTGCTTCAGCGAGCCGCGAACCAGACACAGCGACATCATGCGCCACGAACCACGAATGCGTCGCGTCAAGCTCGTCGCGGCCTGTTAATTGCGACCGGTTTTCCGTCCTCCCAGACGACCTTCTCGTCGAGATTCTTTCGCGACTCGGCGGGTCCGCTGGTGATGTCAGCGTCGCATCAATGACTTGTCGCCGTTGGAGAGCTTTGGCGAGACAAGTACCGAGCCTGAGCTTCGGCGGTGCGGCAGACTCGCAACAATCATCCACGCGCTTCGAGGAGTCCATTTCTCGGATGGTGCTTCGCTCCGAATCCCTCCGCCAACTTAAAATCGTGACGCCGCTTCCAGCCTCTTCCCCTGCGCCGCGCGCTTGCGCCGCATGCGGAAGCGTTTCCGCCTCCGTCATCCCGCCAGTCTGCCCCTGCTTCGAGGAGACGGTGCACGGCGCGCACGGCGCGCACGGAGCGACGGCCCAGGAAGGGGATTCCGCGACGGTGAGCCACCCGCGGGAGTTCATCTTCGAGGCGTGGATGCGCCACGTGGGGCCGTCGCTGCGCTCGCTCACTCTCTCGCGCGCAGTTCCCGTTGCTTCGTCCACAAATTGCGGCGGCAACGGGAGCGTGGTCGTGAACCTGTGGGAGGAGGAGGACGCGAGTCTGCATCTCGCGCACATTTCCCGCCACTGCACCAACCTGCGCTCGCTCTCAATGGGCCACGTATCCCTCTCCGCGCCGACCCTGCTCGCAACTCTCCAGCCCATGCCGGCCCTGCAGCACCTCTCGCTCTCGTGGCTGCACGCGTGCCCCGCCGCGCTTCACGCCGTGCTTGACGCCGCGCCGAATCTCCGCCACCTCACGATTTTCATGGCGTCGGGTCTTCCGCGCCTGCATCTGCGCCTTCTGCCGTCCCTGCAGCACCTCTCGCTTTCCTACATCCGCGCGGACTCCGTTACGCTTCACTCCGCGCGCTCCCTCCAAACCCTCTCTATCCGCGACATGTTTCTCCGCTCGCTCTCAATCCGCGACGCGCCCAATCTGCGCCAACTCTCCGTCGCCTCCGCCAACAGCCTGCTCGTCTCCGCGCCTCACTCGAGTCAGCTCGCGTCGATCGACCTCCGCGCGGGCTCGCTCAACTGGGCCGCCACCGAAACCCTAATTTCAACCAATTGGGTTGCGCTAGTCGCTCTCTCTCGACTTTTTTGCGACCACCAACGCATCTGGCCTGCCCTCTGTTTCGTCGCTGCCCTGGCTTGCACGGAACTGCCCGGGGTTGAAAAGTTGGCGATTGGGTGCGCTGGCGTGGCAGAATATGGTTGACTCGGCTGCATTGTCCGGTCTTTTACTGCCACAGAGGAATAGCGACAACTTGTGGCCTCCGCTGGAAGCACTTACAGTGAGAATTGCGGAGAAGGCACCCGAAGGCCTGCTTTTGCTTCATTCAATTCTTTCTAACATCCCCACACTGATGGGTCTGAACGTGACTGTCGAAGGAGAGGAGGACGAGGAAGAGGAAGAGGAGGCGGAGGAGATGGAGTATGATGGAGATTGCGACGCGATGAGCATGGACGAGGATGAGGAGGAAGATGAGGGAAACTACATTCCTGAGCAGGAGGCAAGTGACTTGTCACATACTCACTCTGAAGCCTCTACTTCACCTGGCATTTCAGGGGTGGCTGATGCTGCACTGGCCGTGTCCACTCAGCCTGTGGGTTACTGGCCTGCACTGACTGCAGCAGAGCGACAGCACCAGCTGTTTTTGAAGGGCCTGGACTGCCTCCAGAGGCGGTTTGGTTGCTTCCATGTAGCCTCCCCTATGCTGTACAGGCGTGAAACAGCCACTAAGCTGTTTTGGCAGAGTAGTAGTAGTAGGAAGTGCTCTTAGGGGAATTTCAGAAAGATAGTAGCAAGATAGCTTTACAAGAGATCATATGATGGCTTACATTTCAGAGATATATCCTAATATACTAGGATACTAGCAAGGGCGCCTCGAGCAGGTCGCTCAGGTCGCCTATCATCTTTCTAGAGCTAAGGACAGCAAGGCATAGTCATTATGATTATGTACAAGACATACTAGCCTTGTTGTCATATCCTAGAACCAATAAGCATAGCCTAGGAATTCACTAAGGTAATGGGCAGAGATTATTTGTCTTGTTGTCGTCCATGGTGTCGTTGATAATGATGACCACGAGCTCTGTTGGAAGTAGCCATGGCTGTAGGAAAGTATGCTTGCTTGTGCTGTCAAATACTTTGCTGCGCTGTTGGAGTTCTCTGCCCAGTTGTGTCCAGCACTAGTAGTATGCTCTCTGGAGTTGTTCCCACGGTTGGAAACTCAGAATTACGAGCCGCACAATTCAATGTTGGATTCCAACATTGAATTCCCGAAATGTACTTAGGGTGTGTTCCGAATTCTGGTTCGGATCACAAGGAGCTGAGTTGGCGAAATCGAGGATGACGAGATCGCCTTCGTCTTGTTACATTACTCCCCTCTCCAGCAAGCACCGTCCTCGGTGCTTGAGCAGATGCAAGGTAGCTCTGAAGGACTCTCTGGGCATTCTGAAGGCTTGTCTCGGGTATCCAGAGGTTGTGAGAGGAGTCTTTCCCACGCCACTTAACAAGGAAGTAAGTGCCGCGAGGAGAGGTTTCATGGGACAGAATTTTCTCAACTTCAAAGAGATCAGGGTTAGATGTGAACATAGGAGGCCGAGGAGGCAGAGGTAAGAGGGGAAAGTGGGCTGGAGGAATGTGGTAAGGACGTAGGAGCTGAACGTGAAAAACAGGGTGTATGTTGATGTGTGGTGGAAGTTTCAAACGGTAGGTGAGAGGAGAGAGAACTTGGGTGATGGTGAAGGGGCCGATGAAACGAGGTGCAAGCTTACGAGTGAGACCTTTCTGCAGCAAGGGAAGGTTTGTGGTGGAGAGAAGGACTTGGTCACCTACGTGGAACTGAATGTCACGACGGTGTTGATCGGCGTACCGGATCATTCGGTGTTGGGATTTGAGCAAGGAAGCGCGTGCTGCTGCAATGGTTTTTTCCCGAGTAGAGAGGAAGTCGGCTGCTGGTTTGGTGTCACTGCTGCGTACGAGAGAAGCTGGTGTGCGGGGCTGCTGCCCTGTAGCGAGGAAGAAAGGGGTTTGTCCCGTGGCGAGGTTCACCGTGTTGTTGTAGGAGAATTCGATCGATGGCAGGTGCTGGTCCCAATCGTTTTGCCGTGCACTCACGCATGCACGCAGGGCATCTTCAAGGGTTCGATTCATCCTCTCGGTCTGCCCATCGGACTGAGGATGGTAGGCAGTGGAGAGACGAATCTTGGTGCCCAATCTGTTGAAAAGGGACTGCCAAAATCTGCCAACAAACCGAGAATCACGGTCACTGATTAGTACGGAAGGAATGCCATGGAGACGTACCACCTCGTTGAAGAAGAGATCAGCGACGTTCTCAGCAGTAGCGGTGGTGGAGGTAGGGAGGAAGTGTGCCATCTTGCTCAGCTTGTCCACGACGGTGAGGATGGCGTTGTGATGGGAGGAGGTGCGAGGCAGATCTGTGATAAAGTCGAGTGTCACATGAGTCCATGGGAGCTGAGGGATTTCCAGAGGGTGTAGGAGGCCGTAGGGTGCAGCGTTGCGAGCTTTGTTGCACTGGCATGTGTGGCAGCTGCGTACGTAGGATCGGACATCTCGAGAGAGCTTGGGCCAGAAGAAGTTGGAAGAGATGGCAGCAAGCGTTTTGTCCACTACGAAGTGCCCATTCTGGTCATGATGCTCGCGTAGCAGGAGGTGACGAAGCTTGCGCTCTGCGGGGACGCAGATGACTTGGGAATCTGCCTTATACCAAAAGGGGGATTCGTAGAAGACAGATTTATCATCAGCAGCAGAGTAGAGATAGAAACGGTCACGACGATACCCTTTGGTGAACTTCTTGATGAAACTTTCGTCCCATGTGACGCTTCCGATGGTGGTGAGCTGAGGTTGAGGAGGCCGGGTCAAGGAATCAGTAGGGTTGAGGCGGCCAGCGCGGTACTCGATTTTCAGCTCCGGTACGTACTGTTCCAGGTACTCCATCCATCGGGCCTGCCTCGGGGTGAGATGGGGCTGCGTCTTCAGGTATTGCAGGGTGCAGTGATCGGTAAGAACAGTGACGGGCTGCATGTGAACATAGCAGCGCCACTTCTTGATTGCATGGACGATGGCCAGCGCCTCGCGATCGTGAGTAGCATAGTTGCACTCGGCAGGTTTCAGTTTCCGGGACTCGAAGGCGATAGGCTGAAGGCCATGCCCTTGATCTTGACAGAGAATTGCACCCGTTGCAACCTGAGACGCATCTGTCCATATCACGTAGGGTAGGGAGGGGTTGGGTAGGGCTAGAGTAGGAGAAGAGGTTAGTGCACACTTGAGAGCATTGAAGGCAGTTTGCTGGTCAGAGTCCCAATGGAATGGTTCAGTTTTGCGAAGAAGGTTGGATAGGGGAGAGGTGATGGCAGCAAAGTGTCGAATGAACTTGCGGTAGTAGTTGGCAAGACCAAGGAAGGCTTGCACTTCCTTGATAGAGGTTGGCTCCTTCCATTCCCTGATGGCGTTGACTTTGGAAGGGTCCATAGCAAGCTGGTTGTGTGAGATGATGTGGCCCAAGAAAGGAATCGAGGGCTTGGCAAACTCACACTTGCTCTGTTTGGCGAAGAGACGATGCTCACAAAGCCGTGTGAAGACTTGCCTTAGATGCTCGACGTGTTCCTTCAAGGATTTGCTATAAATCAGAATGTCATCGATGAAGATGATGACAAACCGGTCCAAGAAATCCCGAAAGACACTGTGCATCAAGGACATGAAGGTGGCAGGGGCATTCGTTAGTCCGAAAGGAAGCACGAGAAACTCGAAATGCCCATACCGTGTTCGAAAGGCGGTTTTCTCGATGTCTTCGTCAGCGACACGCACTTGATGGTAACCGCTTCGTAGGTCCAGCTTGCTGAAAATTGTGGCCTCACCAAGTTGATCAAAGAGTTCTTCCACTCGAGGTAGCGGGTAGCGATTCTTGACGGTGATTTTGTTGAGCGCACGGTAGTCAACGCACATGCGCATGCTGCCATCTTTCTTTTTGACGAAGAGAATCGGTGCTGCATAGGGAGAGGAGCTGACGCGGATGAAGCCCTTCTCAAGAAGCTCCTCCAACTGCTTCTGAACTTCTTTCAGCTCGGCAGCGCTCATCCGGTACGTAGCGCGAACGGTAGGTTCAGCACCGGGTTGTAAGATGATGCGGTGATCGATGGCACGCTTTGGAGGGAGTGAAGAGGGAAGATCAGCAGGGAAGATGTCTTTGAACTCATTGACAACCTGTTGAATTTCAGAAGGGATTTCAGCAGCCTTGGGAGGGGAAGGAAGAATAGGAGTTTCTGAAATTTGATTCAAAAAACAGAGGAAGAATTGAGAGTTTGGGTCATTGAGAGATTTTTTCAGCTGCCGTTTCGAGAGGATGTTGCAGCAAGTAGAGGTAGAGGAGGAGGAGGAGAAGGTAGGTAAGGTGATATCTCTTCCAGAGTGAGAGATGGTGACGGTTCCAAGAGTCCAATCAATCTTGGGGTTTTTTAAGGAAAGCCAGTCACGTCCAAGAATCACTTCATGGTCTCCGAGAGATGCTTGCTGAAACTGAATCTTGTCTCTGTAAGGTCCGATTGTACATGAAACAGGGAATGGTACTTGTCCACATGAAATCGAGGTTCCGTTCGCCATCAACACTGTTTGAGGTATGGAATCAGATTGAGTTGGAAGAGAAAGCTTGGAGAGTAGAGAGGAGGAGATGAAGTTAGAAGAAGCACCACTGTCAACTAGAGCTTTCACTCTCTGACCACGAATCAGCATGGAAAGGAGAAGGGGTTCAGAGGGGTTACGACTTTCAAGGGAAGAGATGGTGGGGCAGGCATAGTCACCAGAAAGTTGCCCCGAGTTTACTGGCGACTTGAGTTTCCCGGCGTTGGAAGGATGGGAGGCTGATTGGTGCGTTGGCGGCAGACCTTCCACACGTGCCCTTTCTTGCCGCACTTGTAGCACACGATGGCTGGCCTCGGGTTTCTCTTTCTCTTCTCCATCAGGTCCAGATCCATAGGAGCAGATTCTTGAAGATTGGAGTCAGTTGGAGTAGAGGGCTGGTAGGAGGGAGCAAACGGGAGGAACGGGCTACGAGGAAAGCGAGGCTTGTTGTATGCGTAATGGACAGAATCATACCGTTCAGCCACGCGTATCATTTCCTCGAGCGTAGAGCAGTCCCTCAGCTCGACCTCCATGCGCACGTTTGTTTTCAGCCCGCGCTTGAAACGATCCATCCGCTCAGCATCGGAAAGGTCCGGGATCTCTTGAGCGATGTCACGGAAGCGAGAAGCGTAATCTTGAACAGATTTGAGTTGCTTCAGAGCAGCCAAGGCGTCTCGTGCTCTGATGTTCGGGTTCACCGGTTGGAAGGTTGCAGTGAAGATCAGCTTGAATTGTTCCTATGATTGGATGGTCGCATGCACGGATTGCCACCAGGTGATTGCAGATCCACGAAGAAGGGTGCCGGTGAAAGCAGTCCACTCGGCAGGTAGTATGTGACTCAGGAGCAGGAATTGCTCAACAAGAAAGAGCCAACGGCTCACGACTGGTTGGTTTCTCCCGGGAAAGAAAAAATCAGGAAGGGCGGGTCTAGCGCGCTGATTTCCGTCTGGCGGTGCAGCAGGGCTCGAGTTTGCTGCCACCACTCCAGCTGCAGCTACACTAGCTTGCATCTCTGCTTGCAAGCTCTCTCTAACTTCAGCAACAATTTGGGCACGGTACGTTTGCAAGTAGGTGGCCCATTCATCACGAGAAGGTACCTTACTAGTCGTCATGACGCTGTTCTCAAGAAAAGGAGGATCGAAG